GAAGAAAATTTAAAACTTCCTTTTTATTTTATGTTTGTTTGTAATTTTGTTTTTATTGTATTTAGCAAATTTTGCAACTTTGAGGGGGTGTAACTTGGCCGGGAATTCACTTTTCCAAGTTTTTTTTTTCAGCTTTCTTTATGCTAGCCTGACTCTACTAACCAACAATATTTAAAGAAAATCTGAGATATGAAAGGAAAAAAGTGTGCGATTTGGCATGGAATGGCCCATATAAATATGTATATAGATGACGGTTTTCGACGACTGTCATGTATAACTTTCATTTTTATTTCAGTTGCCCATATCACAGCTCTCTTCCATCTCCTTGTGATATATGAGAAGTGTTTTCCTAATTCTATCAGCTACCGATAGAATTTTATACAGTTCTTACGGCACAGACGTAAATCTTCCAAACACTTACATAAAAATTTACCTCAGGAAAGAGTCAGCCACTGCACTTAATGCTTTTTAATCACATCTCATTTTGCCTATTCAGGTCTTTATGACTGCAGCAGTAGTAGTAAAGGTTTAGGAAGTTTTGGTTTAAAACGATTTCACCGGGTTTAAGAGGAGAATTTTATGGCATATTATTTATTTTGATCTGTGCCAGTTTCTGCTTTTAAAGTTCTGAAAATAAATTAGCAGATTGGGTCTATCTTTGGCGCAAGGAAAATTAATCCGAATCTAAAAAGGCAGCTCAGAACAAAATGTCCAGGTATTGTGTAATGTCAGCTGAGCTGCCCAAATAGTTAATTCTAGAGAGAAACCCAATTAACTCTAATATTTTCAGCAGTGAATCTTAAAAAGTAAAAATAGACGCAGACGCAAAGAAGAATTTTAGTCTTCAAAAGTTTTTTATAAGCAAAGTGTAAATACCAATCAAATGCTGAAATGCATTTCCACCAGCTACTTTTTTGCTGTTCAACGTTACACTCATCTGTTCAATCTGGTCGTCTCACTTCATTAAACTAATGCTAACACTGGATCCGTGCTACGGCGAGGTTGCTTTACTACCCTCCAGTTCTAGTCAATAGACAGGCGGTCTTTGAAGGTCTGAATATTCCACCAATATATAAGGTACTTTTTGCCTAGTATGGTTAGATCAATCCTCAATCAGCAGACGAGCGGTCGCCAGTTCCACTGATTAGGAAAGATTGTAACGACTTTCATACAAGAAAAAAAACAACATCACTATAATACACTATACTAGACAAGGTTGTCCGATTGCCATTCACACAGCTGATCCCCGAAGTGTTCAAATTGCCCCTAAAATATACTACCTGGAAAGCCAAAATTTCTCTACTACAGGCAAAGAAAGAAATGGCAAATGCTCAGGAATTTTGCCAGAAGAATGTTCCCCTGTGGGCGGACTCAATGCAAGACAGTCAGTTTGCTGGGACTGGATGTGGAATGTGGCGAATTGGCCAACCTATCGTACAGCAGTTACGAGAGTCATATCGCTGCTAAGTGTCTGGAGCAAACAAAAAGTACAAGCGTAAGGGAAATGGTGTTGGAAAATTGCCAGAAACGCGAGCTCCCTGAGAATTTGGCAGCGTATTGGAGGAGAAGCAGTGTCGATTGCATTTACAGTTGTCAGTACACGGAGACACCTAATTGCTTATCAGAATTCGAAATCAATGGTTGTTGGGTGATCATAATTTTATGGTGATTTCATCAAAATGATCTTTAAATGTTTACATTTGATATTCCGATATATATAGTTGTTGATGATTAAAAGTAGTTTTCTTGGATGCGATCAGGGAGGAATCGTTGCGGTAAAAAGGAAGCGAAGAATCATGCCATAATGGTTTACATACGGTGATTTTTTGATCATTGCTTAACGTTATAAATGGAGCAAGGTACATGAAGTTAACGACCAAAAAGTTACAATGAGAATAATCTTTATTATCTATATTATTTTCCACACACTGCAGCGAGCTGATATGTTATACGTTAACGGTATGTACATCTTTCAGATTAGGCTGGCAGAACAGCCATTTAACGAAACATTGAGCAAATGCAGTTTTCCTATGTAGAAATTATTTGGTTTCTATGCAGTGCTGCATCATTTTGATGGCGGGAAACCTTTCTTAATTTCCATCCTTTAATTCTTTTTTCATGCTTTAAAAAGGGAGGTATTCAAATTGCGTACTGAGGAAATAGGTTGGCAAGGAAATCCCTTTATAAGTAGTTTATTTTTGTTTCCGACTTTTTTTTTCTGCGACATCATTCATCACCCTTTCGTTTCAAAAGTATTTTCTTTTGTGAAAATAGTATGGTTTTATATGATTTTAATTTGTTACAGTGCATGATTTTGTATGCGAGGCTTTAGCTCTGATGATAGGGTATAGGACGTATTCACTTAAGTGAGATATTGCTTTTTATATTTGCATCTTTTTCTTGTTTGTTTTTTTTTTCATGTAGTGCTGTGGAGGCTACTGTTTACTCTCAACAATTTTTTAACAGGCTGATTGCTTAAATCAACTTTTTTCTACGCCGTTATTGCACAAGATTGAACTTCCATCTTTTACTTAATTACAATTTTAGCTCAACTATTTTTAACAATAGGGTTAGTTTTTGAAAGTAATTGTTTCATCATATACCAGCGTTATACTACTGCCGTAAATTTTTGGTATGAAACATTGGAATGAAAGTTAGGCTGCTTTCTGGATACAGATTACAGGATACTTGTTTTATTGTCGTGTTATCTTGTTGATGCGTCTGATGGTATGGTTAATTGCTCAGTGGTAATTTCAAGAGCGATCAATTGTAAGTTTTAAAGTCATTTACTTTGAATTTGAAATACCTCATCGCTAATGAAAAGTCACAGAAATGTTAGGAAACATTGGTTTTTAACTTGATTTTTTTGGGCTGCTTTTTCGGATTTCTCTCTTGGACGGAAATCAGGGTCAATTTTTTGATTGCTGTGATTGGCAACTTATTTAAAAACCAGTGTAATTTCATAAAGAGAAATTATAATTTTTTCACGCTGTTACGTTATTCTTGAAATTTATTTTTTATTTATGAGGATTATCTTTTTTTGGTTTTATTATATTGAAATATCTTAGTAAGGTCAGTAAAGTGTAGGGGACAATTGGGTTGACCCGAGATGGTGCAGTTGAGCCTGAGAAGTTTAACGTAAGTTCATCTTAAGTTAATTAATTACCACAGTTTGCAAGCAGTTGTGAAACAGTACTTCAGAAATGAAAAGCGAGGAATTCTTTTCTGAATTTAGACGTTTGCATGAGTTGATATTGGTGAAATAATGTTGCTGGTCATCAAGGGAGTTTTATACGGCAGACAGAAGAATGGCAATGGCAATAATGAGCATAAACATTTTAGTAGAAATCGGTGACAGAAGTGAAATTTTACCATGTCGTTAACAGCGTTTCACTAATAAGCTGTAAGTTAATGAGCCTCTCCTTTTGGTCGCAGTGCAACCATGCGGCAAGTTGATGTCATTTTACCAGTCAGTTTTTATCTGCTAGTAAGGATAATTTTTTTGTGAGGCTGGTGATATATGATATTTGTTTTGCGGGTTTATTTACTGATTAGGGTTTTTGTTATTGGCGGGTATGTGATCTCAGTTTTTTTTTACATACTTTTTTTTTTTGGTGTTCTTCAGTTTTTAGAATGTAGCAACAAAAAATGTGGGTTTTTTTTTATCATTCTTTGTATACTGCAGTAATCTATAGTTCCTCCAATGTTCTTACCTCACTGTAGAAAGTCTTATCAGTCATTGTTGAGAATTTTATATTCTCAAAACTAGTTATGAGAATTTCTGTACTTTGCGAAATTTATTTGTAAAGCAACAGTTTGGACGTTACAAGGGTTGTGTTAACTTTTTTTAAAAAATTAATTGCTGCATAATTTTTTAAAATATTTTTTTGTGATTTCAAAGTTTTTTGTATGTTTACAGTTTTTTTAGAGTGCTTTTGTAGTGCTTTTTTTAAATATCGCTTTTTACTGAAAAAGTGGGGTTTTTTCCGGTGACTTATCTAATTAGGTTTAGGTTGAAGCTCTATTAATTGATTTGGAAGTTTTATTTTTCACCTAACTATATTTTTTGAAAACAGTTATTTTTATAAACTATCTTTCAAAATTCTACTTTTTACCGCTCTTGGTCGCAGTAATTTTTCTCGTAACTGGTATGCAATACAGCTAATGATTATTGCTTTCAAGTTAGGCCATTTTCTCACGTGTTTTAGACAAATTTTCTATCCTAGATTTGGAGACTGTTTTGAGTTCGTAATTAGGGTTGTTCGATCTGTTTATGATTTATTCATCGCAAACTATTTGCACTGTTGTTTTCTTCAGGAGAGCTAATGGATGATGATGTAAAGCCATCATCTAGCGAAGATTTAATTGCTTCTCTGATAAGCGAGGTTCAACAACTAAAACAGGTGAGCCGTGCGGACTTTTTCTATCAAATTTTTGGAGATTTTGAAGCCCATTTTAAGACTGGTGAAAGGGCTTTAGTTTACAACATGCGTGGTTTATTAAACTGGCTTTTGTTCAATCTCAAGTCTTCTTTACTTCTCCCAATCACATTTGCCATATTTTTTAAAATCTGACTTCAAATTTAGATATTAAAATTTTCAGCCCTTTGATGTCACTGCTTTGCTACCCGTCCGCACGAAGGAGGTTGTGAAGAGGTTCGCTTTAATTGTTTCACAAAAATATATCTGTAGTACAGGCGTGAATAAAGTTTTTAATGTTTTTTTAGTTCAAAGTCAAGATCTCAAACCCCATCAGCCAAACATGAGAAGAAAATAAAGAAGCATAGAGAAAAGAAGTCACGGAAGAGTAAAAAGTGGAAAAGGACTCCTTCAAAATCTCCCTCAAGGAAAAAAAAGAGGTTGGGTACAGGGTTGCTGATGAACTCTTATGTTCATAATAAGTTGTTTAAGTTCTAAATCTCTTTCAATGTTATGAGCTTTTTAAGTTATCTTTTTGCTAAATTGCGCCACTCAGAGCTTTCTTTTAATTGAACATTTTTACAGATTTGTTATCCTATATCATTTTTTTTCTTTTTTTTTTTTTTTGCAGAAGAAGAACGAGAAGCGATTC